TGGCATCTGTCAGTAGCTATGTTTCCATCCACCTATTTTTATGCACATTTTGGATTATTGCATAAAAAAACCGCTGGATGGAAACTGCGCATAAAAAACGTATGCGCACAATTGAGTAGGATAAACTTTTTATCTGATAAGAAAAAATGTCATGTGAGACGGTTATGAGATGAGCTAAATTGACTAATCAGCGGACCGATTTTGTTCACAGCATCTATATGTTGTTTTGGTCGTTCTGAAATGCCTGAGGAAAGTCTGTCATCAAAGTATTTCTGCATAATTACTGTCTTACATGACTGCGTTCAGGCATCCACCTCTAAAAGCAATGACCGCATTTATTGTGTTACGTCTGCTCTCTCTGAAGCACAAGTAATTTATTACATATGACAATTATTATATTCAGTGGCTTCTCCTAGTTTTCTTAGAGATATTTAGTGCCAGTTTATCAGCAAGTGACGATTTTGTTCTCTTTGACTCGTTGGATGGAAACGGTGCTTTATTCGCAAATGTTTTATGCGATATTCTAGTTTTGCTCACAAGTTAAATTTGCATCTTTGGATTGAAACATAGCTAGTATGACGGCTGCATGTCACGTTTGAGGATCTCTTAGAGAGCTGAACCAAGTATGTTTTCTTGTGAGCAAACATACCTGCTGTCTCTACATTTCACATTCTTCTAGCCTTTGGCTTTCAGAGGCTTAACCGACTGAAAATATATATATTCAGCTGGGTCACAGCACCATTAGGAGAGTAATCTCAGTCAACAGAGAAAGGCTTTTTACAGATATACTACAAGTGAAGAGTAGAAAGTGTCTACATCAGGCAGTCCACATATGTAGCCGTAATTACTGTTAGTGGTATTGGCAGAACAAGAGCAGCAGTAAACAATATCAGCACTCCTGTGTGCAACATGGATGAGTCTGCCCATATGTCCACAAACACCAAGTAATCTGTGGGGCTTGGGTCGTGTGTGTGGTATGAATATAGCCTTGGCTGGGGAAGAGACTGTCTCTTTTAAACTAAACCGATGAGTTCATTTATGTAATGTGGTAGTACAGCATCAGCACCTGGTCAGCAGGTGGGGCTAGTACACTGTTTGGGCTGATTATTGACCAAGCTGACAGTCAACAACTTCAAGTAATAATGACCACTTCATAAATATTACAAATGGCTGTAACGATCAACTGATGATGTGTCAAGCCAAATTGGAGCTATTAATGGAAGAAAATGGTAATTGGTGTTTGAAAAGATGGAATTAAATACCAGAATGGAGCCAGACCTGAATGTCAGTTTGCAAAAACAATACCTAAAAAAAGGCTAATTCGGCTAATGGTTAACATTACCCGATAGCCCATTCGGCCTAAGCTACATCACTGCACAATGTAATGCGAACATAGGGCCATGTACCATGTAAACATTATGTAGGTTTCAGAATTGAAGGCATGTGTGACAAGAAACAAAACACAAAAGAACACAAATTCCATTCCTTTTTTACTCACAATTTGAACAGTGTCCCAACTTTTTTGGAATTGGGTTTGTATATATATATTTTTTTTTTGTATAATATTAAATAATAAAAAAAATAATAAAATCAATTTCCTACACAAGCACCACAGCTTAATATGTTGCAACCGCTAAGCCAAGGTTCCGACGTTCATTAATATTTTAAAACACCATATGCAGTTTCACATAGGATCTGCGATTCTGATGGAAACTTTATATGCAATGCTAAACAGGTGGTCTATTGATGAAGTGTCAAAGTAAAATTTTACTAGTTTTAGCACGTTTCAACTCAGACTCACTCAAGTGTCTCATATTGAGTAGCACAAATCATTATTCCCAGACCTCGGAAACACTACACAGAGGAAAAAACAAAGAGAAGAAAGGAAGACAGGAGAAAACAACAACAACAATCGGCTAGTCATGGTGTTAGAATGTGTACAAACAGGATGGATGTGTTAATTTCTCATTTCCCCCTCGTCCCTAGAGGTCTACAACCTGATGTGACACCAATTTCCATTCCCAATGACACATTGATTACTTTTCCTTCACTCCACACTGGAGGAATGGAGGTTTCCGGACAGCAGTACCTGGTCGTGGCTTTCAGCGTAAGCGATGCATTTCTCGCCGTATCGCCTGTTGGTCATCGTGAACACAATGTTTCCCATGTTCCAATCTTCGTCCTTGAACTCCTTAAGGATCTGAGAATGGAAGAGAATGAGTAAATATATAAAAGGGAACGAGGATAAACAATTCTCACAGTACTTCATGAACAAGTCTTCCATTCTTTCTTGTTTTCTCATCATTTGTTCGCTATATTCCACTGGTGAGTGTCTGGTTAGTTCTAGTCGAAAGCAAGATTTCATTTTCTTTCTACAAGCTTGGGCGCCATTTCTACAGTATATGAATCCATCATACCGCAGTACTGCACTCTACAGTGAGACTTTGAAAGAGATTAAGGTGGTAATGTTAGCTCTTGTTTATTTTATTTTAGTACTATTGATTTTTCCCCATCTCAGTTTTTGAGGATGCACTGCCTCCCTTGCCATTTCACAGAAAATGTCCCTAACTAACTAAAAGTAGCAACGCTGCTAACTACACTTTTCAGTTGCCTGACAGCAGCTCAGTTGTTTTCAAAACACTATGTGAATAATGTTTATGTGAGTTGCTAGCGCACTTTAATTTAAAAACAGTTCCTGAATATTATAAATAAATTAGCAAATAATTTAAATATAATAAAATTTCTTAAGTACAATTCCTAAATATGTATGTCAAGAATACTAATTATTAACACATTATTAAATATTAAACACTTTAATAAATGGATTTCCTGAATATTATGTACATATTTCAATATACTAACTCTTTAGAAATGATGAAATAATTAAAATATTTAATGATACATCTGCAAAACATAAATATTATACATTTTCCTAACTGTATTTCCAACTTATTTCTTCAATATTATTTCATCTACAAATTTACATATTCCAATTGACCAATTCTTTGTAAAGTATTAAATCATTTAAACAAATGATACATTTGCAAACATATAAATATTAAACAACATTTTCTACATTTCTTAAAATGAATTTCTTGAATATTATTTACATATTCCAATTGACCAATTCTTTATAAAGTATTAAATCATTTAAACAAATTATACATTTGCAAAACATATAAATGTTAGACAATTTCTTAAAATGCATTTCTAATCAATAAATAATTTTTTTCCAAAATTTCCTGAATATTATTTACATATTTCAATATACTAATTCTTAACAAATAATTACATTTAAAAAATATATAAATACATGTGTGTAAATGTAGTTATTATAAATTGCTAAGTATTATAATAATATATGTATATTTTTCAAATGTATATTATTAAATGTAAAAAACATGTTTTTCATTTATGTTCATTGGAAATTAATTTTATTACCATTAACAGTTGAAGCAAAATAAGTTTCATAACTGAAATTGGTTAAATTGTTAGTGATGATCAATCAAACACTACTTGTGTATACACATTTGAAGGCTTTGAAATTTGAAGACAAATTTGGATCAATGCATGTATATGTCTGTCAGGATTGGACTGTCTTTTGTTGTGCTTTTCTCCCCATGTGCTCCCCTTGACCCAGTTTCTCTCTCATGTGCCCTTATTTGGTCGTTCCTGTCCTCGTTGTCTCTTCATTTGTCATTCTGTTCACCTGTGTTCTACCCATTCCCTCGTTATCCTGTATATTTAAGCCCCAGTCTGTTCAGTCTGTGTTTGTCGGGTCTACCAGTTGTGTATGTGTGTCTTCCTTCCCTCCCAAGTGTGGATTTACCCTGTGTGTTGGATTTAATAAATGACAGTTTTGTTTATCCACGGCTCCTTCGTTCCAACCAGCAGCGTATCATGACAGAAGACCCGACCAAGAAACAGTATTACTTCGTGTTTCCCCTCCATTTTGTTTCCTCGTTTTAGGATGTGTTTTTGTTTCCGTAGTTCCTCATGGATCCCCTCGCTGTTAAGTTCCCCGCCCTAGCTCGCAATGACCATTCCCTGTTGGAGTATGCGGTTGAGTTCAGCCAGCTCGCCATTTTAATGGCGTTCGACGACGCTACGCTGAACTCACTGTTCTGGATCGGGGCAAATTACTATCGTCCCGTCGACCTCCCAGACACCTCTGGACTGAGCTGGAGGGAAGCCATTACCCGGTGTCTGGAGAGCGTCTATCCCTGATCCAGAGCACAGCCAGATCCAGACGCCAAGCCCACCATCTATCCGCAGAGCAAGCCCAAGCCCGAGCCCACCGCTGACGGAGAGCCAGAGCTACAAGACCTGCCGCGAGGGAGAAAGCCGCGGACAATGAGAGCGCAGAGAGGAGCTCCGCCCCCTGCACCGTGGCTGAGGGCGAGCTAATTACGGATCTGGGACTGTGCAACTCCAAAGCAGAGAAGGCTCCCGTTCCTGAGTTAAGCCCTGAAAGCCCGGAGGCTCACAAATGCCCGCCCTCCTGCCCACTCCTCCTCCACTGTCGTCTGGCAGCCCCTCTGCTCACCCTCAGCCTACCATCGGTACGGTGTGAGCTCCGCGGGTCTGCCATCCTCCATCGTCACCGTGGCTGGAGAATCCCTTGCCTTCGCCTCCAGCCTCTAAGCCCCGGACTCCGCCTCGGCCTGTTGACCCAGCGGCTTCTGTCCACTGGCTCCACCGGGCTCCCTCGTCCCTCCGGCTGCACCTTGTCCCTCTGGCTCTGTCAGGCTCCTCCATCCCTTCGGCTCCTCCTCAGTCCTCTGTCGCTTAGGCTCCACCGCGGCCTTCTGGATCTCCACCTCGGTCACCGGCGCCATCTGCTCCACCTTGGCCCTCCGGATCCTCCCCGTCGCCCTGGCTCATCGGCTCTCCTTCTCCGCCTTGGGCTCCTCCGCCTCCTGCTCCGCCGGAGTCGGTTGGCCCCCTGGAGTCGTTAGCCCTTCCTCCTCCATGACTCCTCCCTCCGTCAGCTCCACCGTGGGTCGGTATCATGGCTGTGGCCTGGGTCCCACCTGGCGCATGCATGCTCCAAGTCCCTCCTGTCATCTCCCTGGCTCCTTCCTCCGTCTGATCCGCCCTGGCTCCTCCTGTTTCCTTCTTGGCTCCTCCCTCCCACCACCTTATTTGGTCGTTCATGTCCTCGTTGTCTCTTAATTTGTCATTCTGTTCACCTGTGTTCCTCCCAATTCCCTCGATATCCTGTATATTTAAGCCCCAGTCTGTTCAGTCTGTGTTTGTCGGGTCTACCAGTTGTGTATGTGTGTCTTCCTTCCCTCCCAAGGGTGGATTTACCCTGTGTGTTGGATTTAATAAATTCTCCTTCATTCCTTCCGGCAGCGTATCGTGACAATGTCATATTAGATTACCATAAAATCTTGCTTTACGAACAAATGGTACATCCAAATTAGGTGTAGCATTAGGCCCTTTCGCACCACTTTAGTTCCAGAACTAAACGTACGGTACTAAAGTACTGGGACGATTTTGCGCGAACTATTTTCCAGTACCATTTAAAGAGTTGCATTCACACCGAGAGTATGTACTAAGAAGTGACGTAAGCCGGTCGACAGCGACGTCATTTGTGCGCGGCGTTCAACAACAGAAACAAAGAACAACATTAACAACAGGAGGATGGAGGACGCTGTGATCGGAGCTGTGTTTTTGTTGTGTCTCGCGGGTTTCACAATAATGGACATGGAAAGTCGATGTATACGTAAAGCGATTGAAAGAACGGAAAGGAGGACTAAGAATCTCCAACGACAACTGGCAGTGCTACATTTGCAACAAGTGCCTGCACTTCAGCGTCCGTCCATCTATCGCTGTTCTCCATACTTGAGAAATAAGTTGACATGCTTACAGTATGTTTACACGGCGTTTTAAATCATGGCGGGTGAGGGCGTTTTCATACACATTTGGCCAATCAATGTCTACTTACGTCACGATTAGTACCAGTTGTGCTGGTTAGACCCTGCTCCGGAGTAGGAGCTAATTTGGTTCTCGAAAAAGGCAGTCCGGTACTAAAATCGCTCCCAGTTCCGGCGGTGCGAACACGCCGAAAAGTGGGTAGTTCCACAATTAGTTCTGGTACTATGAAAAGGTTCCTGCGGTGCGAAAGGCCCTATTGGTTACAAAACTAACTAGTACTTAAGTACCTAGGCATGACTTTACAAAAAGCTGGTGCAGTCTTACCAAGAAGAATTGTATGGACTAGTTTTACTATGGAATGTCATGAGGGTGAATATAATAATGACAATCTTATAATATAATTACTGTCCATCCCAATAAACATGTCACCATGTGATAAAAACATTCAATCAATTCACTGCTGCTGCTGCACACACCATCTATCTAGCATATGCCATCACATGGCACAATTAGTTCTGGTACTATGAAAAGGTTCCTGCGGTGCGAAAGGCCCTATTGGTTACAAAACTAACTAGTACTTAAGTACCTAGGCATGACTTTACAAAAAGCTGGTGCAGTCTTACCAAGAAGAATTGTATGGACTAGTTTTACTATGGAATGTCATGAGGGTGAATATAATAATGACAATCTTATAATATAATTACTGTCCATCCCAATAAACATGTCACCATGTGATAAAAACATTCAATCAATTCACTGCTGCACACACCATCTATCTAGCATATGCCATCACATGAGAAAACAGGAAAGCTGTATGCTAATGTAAATAATGCTGTGAAGAAGTTGTTATTCTGACATCTGTGTCACGTCTCTGGCACAGAATGACTGGAAAGAGTCAACCGTCCTTAGTTAAGAGTCAACATCCTCCGCTCCTAAAATTCATCATCCAACTCTCACTCAAATGTCTTCTAACTCTACTTTTCACCCTTAGCCCTGTGACGGTACCCACATCTCATCCTCTTTCAGTGAGAAGATTTCACTGGAACAGAACAGAGATGTTCAGCTTGTGGGAAGACAGAAAAACTCAGGGACAGTGTGTCCAACACAAATCTGAAGACCTGTCATGAATGCAGCTCTGTTTATTTAAAAAAAACGAGATGGGATTCAAGCATCCACCTTCTGGAGCGCAAAAACAAATTTCTACCCTTATAAAAAAAAGAAGTGTACTTAATTGTACTGAATATGCACTTGTAGTCTACTTCATATCTTTTAAATAAACTGTACTTGCTGATAATATAATACTAATGAATTAAAATG